TCACCAAGAACAAATTGTGAAGAAGATTCAATTATTGTAAATGAAGCAATATCAGATTTCCATAAAATAAGAATTCCACCAGATAAGACGAATTAACAGCCATATCCTTCATATAGAACATTCGCGGATCAAATTGGAAATACTTGGATTAGAAATTTTCAATTTGCTGGATGTCTCTATCTCCATCATATTTTTTAAAACTGTTATAAACGGAATATTTTTTCTGAACACCTCCGTATGATTTAATAGAAGAAGATTTAAATATATTCTTTCCATAGTTAACATGAATCCAAGGATCATACTTAGTTTTTCTATCAATAACAGCTGGAACAGATTCTTCAAAATTTGGGTTAACAGCTTCAGAACTTGGTTTAACAGAATTTGGCTCAACAACTTCAGAACTTGGTTTAACAGAACTTGTCTTATTAGCTTCAGAAGGACTTGGATCAACAGCTTCAGAAGGAATTTTTTTACCACCTGAACAGGCCTCCAAACATTCATTATTCTTATGTCTAATCCTACCACAATTGAAGCAAAAAAGTAGTTATTCTTTCATATTCAAATTTTTGAAAAAATCGGCTTGAAATGCCTTCAACCCATAATCTTAACGGGAGTTTTTTATCTAACTGAATTCGAACATATACTTTGGCAAATTCTCTTCTTCCCCATTGAAACATGTTACCATCAATCATTAAAGGCACCCCCACCTTAAAAGCTATCATGGTTTCATTTTTTTCATCTTGACAATGCAACGGGAGGTGAGGCATCCTTATCCAAACAGGAGTAGACCGACCTTTCAAAAATTCAGGTGAAAAATTAGGAGACCACTTATCCAATCCTATAATATGACCACTCACGTACCAAGGTCCACCATACATAACTGCTTCCAAAGCTTCTGACGATTGAAAGGAGTAGAGAATCCATTCCAGTCCAAGTATTGTAATATGAAATTGATCAAATTGGGACCTCTGACCTTAATTCAGAACAAATCATATTAAAAGGAATATTTTTCTCAAAAAATTTGACAACAAAATCTTTCTAAAGCCTCTGAGTATTGGCCAATTCATTTTCAACATGAAGTCTAACAGAATCACTTTCCTCTGTACCCAAACCGTCAAGTAGTACCGAGCAATACCGAGTTACAGTACCGAGCGGTACCGAGTTCAAGTACCGCTCGGTATCGAGCAGTACCGAGCAATACTGAGTTCCAGTAGCGTTCGGTATCAAGCGGTACCGAGTTTCGATACCGAGCCTATGATTAAGAAAACGAAGAACGACGAAAAAAACGAACCTTCACTGCTCACGTTGCCTTCACTGTTCGCGTTGTCGAGCCGCTCCGTCGACGAAGGATGATCCTATCAACTTTAATGCTCGCGTCGTCAAGCCTCTTTGTCGACAAAGGATGATCCTGTTTGCTTCTATGCTCGCGTCATCGAGCCGCTCCTTCAACTATAACGAAGAAGATGAACACTTGTGTGGAAACGAAAAACCTAGCTCTTTGAAATGTTTCAGCCGCATAAATGAATATGGATATTGAGCGGAAACGGTGGAAAGCCGAAAAGAATAAGGTAAATTGCGACACTGTGTTTTTTTTAATAGGACACGCGTATCTGATACGCATGTCCAATCAAATTTAAATAATATTTTAATTGGACACGGCAAAGCCTTATCCGACACGTATCCGTGCCGTATCGGAGGCGTATCTGTATCCGACACGTGTCCGATACAACACTCCTTGTAAATAGGAGTATTCGTGCAACATAGATTACAGTTTACCATATGCAGTATTTAACTTCCCAAATCTATTAACAAAAATTTTCACACTCGACGAAAAGATGCTTCAGAATCATTAGCACCCAACCATGCTCCATTGATAATTTTAACCCCATCAGAAGGCATCTCAAATTGTCTTCATTATCCATTTCTCAATTTCAGCGAGGTTTTGGTGATTTGAGTAGTTGGCGTTCTCCATATTCACTGATGGATCTTGCTGGTTCTATTTTTTGAGCTGGGCCTGTTTCCTTTCATTGATGTTAATCCATGCTCATCGCATATTGGAAGATATTGAATTTGGATTTATTCGTGGATGACACTCAACTTTACTCGCAGGCTAACTGGGTGAACATGCGAGTATAGCTTATGTGAGAATAGAGCGTAGAAAGTAGAGTTCAAGAGGGAGAGCGAGAATATAGGAGAATGCTCAGAAAGAACTTGAGGTCTCAAACATGCAAAATTTTCACTCTATCAATAAAAAAATACATCATTCAAAGATCCTCCAAACGATTATTTATCATCCTTATTTATAAGATTTTGAGTGCTACAAAAAAGTTTATATAGAGAAAAAAATACAAGTCTACACATATCACATATGTAACATTATACATCATCCTAAACATGCATTATCTCTTGAATGGCTGAAGAAGAGGTTAGGATGACAATCTATCTTTAGGCGAGTTTGCTGGTGCTGAGTTCAAACTAGGAGATTTCAGTAGGGGGTAAGTTTGTTGTACCAGGTGAGTTTGCGAGCTAGTGCCGAGCATGTGTAACTCGGTGATTTGACTTTGGTTGAAAGTTGTGGGTAATTTGATCTAAGCCTGGGGTAGCCATAAGGGAATTGATGAGTGAGCTTTGATAACTAGGAGAGCTGGTTGTGGTTGACTAGATAGGGAAAACTGAGGGCCATGAGTAGGCTCTTTCTAGTAGCCAAGTTTAGATGGAGGGATGGTCGCTATAGGAGAGAGTAAGTGTCTGATAGTGGAGTCCAAAAATGTGGTGGGTGTTGAGATGTTTTGATGATGAATCTCCTCTTATGGGACATGTTCTACGGTAGGCTTGAGCAAGTAATGCCTTTGACTTCCGATTGAGCACCGCTCCCCTTAGATTGCTCAGGCAAGTTCCTCTTGTCGACCCCTTGGAGGACGAGTTCCTCTTTCATGACCCGCTAGCCACGTAGTAAGTACCTGGAAGACACATGCGAGTAAAAAGTACCATCATTGTTATGATATAATCTATCATGATGTCATGATATATCTGCTGATAATATGTATGATCATTATGATATGGTTTATAATGGAGAAATGGTCTAAAATGGTCCTTCAACTATTTGTGAGAGATCAAAATAGTCATCAACTATTTTGGTCATACAGTCAATTTTAAATGGAAAAGTGAGATGGATAAGAGGGTATTATCGGATCAAGTAATGAAGAAGCGCGCGAACGGAAGAAGAATGGCTACCTTCGCAACAATTAAGCTCCCTTCCTCGTCATTACTTCTGATCATAAGAGATTTGGACGAAGAAGCACGTGAATGGAAGAAAGATGGCTATCTTTGCAACTAGCAAGCTCCCGTCGTCATTACTTCCGATCACAGTCAATTTGGTCGAAGAAGCGCGCGAATGGAAGAAAGATGCTACCTTCTCAACGAGCAAGCTCCTGTCGTTGTTATTACTTTCGATCGCAGTCGATTTGGTCGAAGAAGCGCACAAATAGAAGAAAGATGGCTACCTTCGCAACGAGCAAGCTCTCGTCGTGGTCGTTACTTCCGAACGCAGTCCATTTGGTCGAAGAAGCACACGAACGGAAGAAAGATGGCTACCTTCACAACGAGCAAGTTCCCATCGTCGTACTTATACTCCCAATAGCACAGACAAACGACGAAGTGTTTTTTCGGATCCGACAAGAAGGAACATTGTCAAAGGAGGCGAAGAAGTGATTTAGCTAGTCGTTCGAAACTTCACCCGTCACGCGAAGGAGGCGAATTTGAAGCACAACGAATAGTGGAGAATGGGTAAAGAAAAGTTAAAAAATTAATTAAAATATTATATAATTAATTACTTAAAATATAATTTCTTATTTTGACGAGATTTAAACTAAATTTATTATTTTCTATCCACAACACCAAATCAGCATCTGCATTTAATACCCTTCATCGAATTTTCTCATATTTATTTTTCTTTGGCAATGAAGGTATTTTCATCTCCTCTTTTTTTTGCACAATTACAAATCTTTCTCTTGTTAAACCAGAGTTGAAAGCAGTGATATTCAATGATGATGATATTAAATGCCAAAAACAAACCTCTAAAGCTAATCCTAGTTGTTGAAGCTTGAATGCTTGATGTTGTAGTAAGTGATTATTTATTTATATTTTTATGATTGTACTAGACATTTTGTACTAAATATTTTATATTATAAGCTAGAAAAGTTATCATGTCATTAATTTATTATTGTTTGTCATTTTTAATATGACATTACATTAATATATATACACTATATAAAAAAATGTATCTCCGTGTCCGCGCCGTACTTGTGTTCTATATTTTCAAAAAAAGCCGTGTCCCGTGTACATGTCGTGTCGTGTCTGTGTCGCCGTGTCCGTGTCCGTGCATCATAGGTTGTCATACTTTAGATGATTATGATAATGTATAAGATGATTAAGCTATGGATTCACTAGGGAGACAATATGTTGATAACTCATAGAACGTAAAATGAGAGGACCATTATGGGAAAAATCAATTGGTGGATTTTATCAAGTAATGTGTATGAAAGAGAATTAGATAGAGAGTTTTTAGTAAAGTTAAAATTTCGTATTTTGAGAGAGGGCTCAGGATATGATGTGTTTGGAATGATATTGACAATCAGTCGAGCTTTATATTGATCAATCGAGCATCACTTTGCAGTTTCACGTGACGACTCATTTTGAACCACTTAACTTCAGCTAGAAAGTAACAACAGTTTTCGCTAGGAAAAGATATCAAATCATTAACACATTTTTAATTAGTATGGATGTCATATTGTGTGGAATAGGTACTATTTGATGTATTATTTTGAGTCAGTATTTAATGAAAGTTCTCTTGCTTTTGGTAACTGAATAACGTATTGGTTAATTTTAGACAACATATTTAGACCCTGTCACACACCGACCTAGCCAATTCCTTAATTAATTTATTTATTTTCACTAAGCTCTGCAGGAAAAGATTCAATTTTGATTCTTCTTAAAATCAGGTTGTGAGGGCAAAGAAGAACGATACAGGAAATGTTTATGCTTTGAAAATAATGGACAAGAAATTCATTGCTAAAGAAAATAAAATATCTTATGTAAAGCTAGAGAGGATTGTTCTTGATCAGTTGGACCATCCCGGTGTCATCAGGCTATATTTTACTTTCCAAGACAGTTACTCTCTTTGTAAGTAGTGTTATCTTTTAATCATTTAATTATCCATGGTCATCGAATGTTCAAATTTCCATGAAAATGTGACAATGACATCTGAGGTCTGATGCCATGCTTTCACAAGTATCTTAGTTAGTTTCTTTCTATATTGACTTCTGTTCGGGATATTGCTCTTGCAGACATGGCCCTTGAATCTTGTGAGGGTGGTGAGTTGTTTGATCAAATAATCAGGGTAAAATTTTGAGATTTCAAGATATAATTATTCATAGATGCTAAATTTATTAATATCTTTATTAGCTTTATAACATGGTTGCATTTCTGCAGAAAGTTCGTCTTTCTGAGGACGAGGCTCGTTTTTATGCAGCTGAAGTTGTTGATGTTTTGGAATATATACATGGTGTTGGATTAATTCATCGTGATATTAAGGTAAATTTAATATATTTGCAGATCTGGTTGCTTCAATAACTAACTATTTCTCTAATGCCAGCCAGAAAACTTGCTACTCACCACAGATGGACATGTTAAGGTTGCTGATTTTGGCAGTGTAAAGCCGACAAGGGCGAGCAAACTTACAGTCCTTCCTAATACGACATGTAATATTGCACGATATTTTGAGTTTTTTCTTTGACTGACCCAAAATAATAATTGTGTGATTATTATTATTATTATTATTTTTCGTTTTGCAGATGATAAGGCATGCACTTTTGTGGGAACAGCTGCATATGTCCCTCCAGAAGTTCTCAATTCTTGTCCAGCAAGCTTTGGGTTAGAATAGTGACCTGATTCTCACAGTTTTTTTCTCATAATTAAGACAATCCGTCAAAAGAAAACTTTGTGATTTAAGTGAAGAGTTTATTGATGGCAATTTAATGATAGGCCCTTGAGGAACCCTTTGATTTGCTTGATTTCTTTTTCGATTAGGAAAGATATACATGTGAAGAGAGGAAGGAGCATTGCCTGTACAAGTCATCAAACTTCATTTTCTTAATTTTTAGAACTCAGATGAATTCCGACATATGAATATCTTGGGATATGCACAGTTGAAAGAGATAAAATAAATTGGGCAGAGAGAGAAAGAAAAATGATTCGGAGGGGAGTGGGGACAGAGATTGTCGATCAAATGATTGAAGAGAATATGAGGAGCAATTTCATATTTCTTTAATAATTAATTAATACTCTAAATAATGTCCATTTAGTGTTTATTTATAGAAATATAGTAACGGTGTAATTCTAACTTCAACTCAAAACATAAATCTATTTTTGCTTTAATTCTATCATTAAATTTAAGAAAGGATAAATCCAACATTTTAATAAAAGAAAATTTAAATAAAATCTTGAAAGATTTCACTTGCCAGTATAATTTAGAAATATTTTTCTTATACTGTATAAATTCCCTTGGTGCTGATAGAACTCTTACGAAGTGTTATAAGAAGCCCTTCATTAATTAGAAATCTGTTTCCCTGGTAGATGAGCTGGCGGTACTAATTATTAAACATCCTTGTATCCATATGTGTGGTTTAATTAGATGAAGTAGAATCTGGAGTTTTAGGATTTGAACTTCTACATGCATTATATATCTTTCTCAAAATAATATCAGTAAAGATCCCATAGTTATATGATGGTGGTTGAAATGGTACCATGAATTTTATATGCATTATTGTTGGAAACATGCAACTTTAGGAGCTTGAGAAACAACCTATATACTTGAATCTTGAAATCTATTGATTATTCTATTTAAATTCTGTCTCAATAAAGTAGCAATAGAATATGTCTCATTCCCAACGTTCAGGCTCGAGAATAGACTTAGGCACAACCTCAGGGTTATGCTTGGCAAGAATTTTGATCATTGATGATTTCTCATCATTATCAAGCTCATTTTATCACCCGAAACCTTATAATTATAGTCCTTATATGTCATCTCAGCATAAGGATCAAATTTTTGAATTGGTGAAGGTGACAGTTGCTTCAATTTATGAAATTGATACAAAGTTCTGAACCTTTCGTGCAAGAGAAATTAGTTTTTGGTATGATCTATCATCATGATAAGATGGTTTTTGATTTGAATGAATGAGATGATTATATGCATAACCATTACAAAATTTATGTGACGTGAAACAAACAAGAATTATAAGGAAATAATAAAATTATTGTAAGCTCGCTAATATAAGATTAATGAATCACGGGAAATACTTTTAATAATTATCCGTTGCAGTCTTGCTTTGGCATGCAGTTACACTTTTAGGAGAATAGATCAATTTAAAACAAAATCAGAAAATTATAATAAAGCTGGATGTATTTGTAATAATAATCCACATGTTAATATCAAGAATATTCACCTCGAGTTTCCCTTTCTCACACACACTCTATGAGGGGTTTAGCGGAGAGAGATCTTTAGCAAGCCAAACGATGCCACCAAGAGGGTTACGACGCCGATGGTCTTGATCCACGGGAGAGTAGCCGGAGAAGGAGGCACATGTAGACGTCCGACGAGTTGCCACTGTACAGATGGTCGTTGTTCGTCGATAGTCTCGGCAAGGTGAAAGAGTATGCGATTTACGTAGTCTTCAAACTCCTAGTTGGGGTCAAAGAAGGGCGATTAAAGGATATCGATTTGCCCTTGAGAATGGTACGTAAATCCGTGGTCGAGTTCAGGATCGACCATCCATGAACATGGGAGTCTTCTTTATTGTGAACTTTGGAGGAGCCGACGGTTAGTAAAGGGAGAAGGGAGGGGAGGAGCCGGCAGTTGGGTTTCTCGGGTAAAAGGGGGAAAAGGGAAGGGGCGGCTAGGAATGTGGGGAAGAGGTTAGGAGAGGAAAGATGTGATTTAATTCCTAAGCTATTCCCAAAATAGTTCAAGGAGGGGCCGACATTTTAGGAGGGTTTAGGGAGCATCTAATTTGAATTAGAAAGTTGATTGAGGAGGGAAAATGGAAGGTAAGGGTGCCGACCATATGGGGAGGGAAATATAAATCTATGTTCAATGCATGTGGGCCAAAAGGATTTAATTATAGATTGGAATCAAATTTGAATTTTAATTTCAGATTTGATTTAATTTGGGAAGCTTCCTAATTGGGTTTTAACAATAGGAAAATATTTATAATTCAAATATTTAATTGAATTCAAATAAGGATATTTTCCTAAATACTAATGGAATATTTTAGGAAGGTAATTAAAGTAGCTTAAATTTTGAAATTTAAACTTTGGGGTAAGGTAGGCGGCGGCTAAGGGAGGACTAGGGAGGGGAATCGACGGTTGTTGGGTGGGGGCTGGCGGCTGGACCGGTGGGGTGGGATGTCCGGCGGTTTGGGGTGGTAGAGGGGGTCAGTTAAGGGGAGAATGGAGGGGACAGTAGGGGAGATTAAGCCGGCGGTGGGGATGGGACTAACCGACGGCTAGGCTCCAAGGGGAGGGGATGGACGGTGGCTTGAAGTAAAGGAAAAGTCGGACCACGAGCCCGGAGCACCTCCGCGATTGGTGGGTATTGTTTAGCCCATGCTTGGGACTTCACCACTCAAGAACTCACAAGCTTGAGAGAAAGAAATACTGAAATTTTATTAAGCAATCATTTAAAAACCAATACAAAGACTAGGGCCGCTATATATAGGCCTCAACAATGAAGAAAACTAAAAGACAGATATGCCCTCTGGGCAACAACTCACTAAACTCCCTCATAGGGGTACAAAGGTCAACTAGAATAAATAATGAAAATAATACTAATACAATAATATAAAATGACTCATAAATAGATGCTCCTGATCGTGACCGTCGATCTGCGATATCTCCTGTGATAGATGCGCTGGAATCTTCTTTTAATGTCCTCATCATTATGTTCATGAGATATATGTTGATGATATCTTTATATTTTATGAGACAATCATCATATGAATACTGATATTGATCTGAAGCTTCAAAATTGGTATGTATTAATGGTTTTTTATAATATCTATTCGATTGTTAATGATTAAATTGATAATTGTGGGATTCATATGCATAGCTGTCAATGGCGCAAAATAGCGCGCGCCATGGCGCACGGCTCGGCGCGGTGCACCTACGGCGCCATGTTCATGGCGAGGCGCATGTGTTTAAAATAGCGCGCGCTATTTGCGCCACATGTGAGCCATGGTGCATTGCGCACGGCGCAAAATAGCGCGCCAAATTGTTTTTAAATTTCGGTATACTTATGAATATTTTTTATATTTAAAAATAT